AACGCTTCCCAAATTATAGAAATGTTTATCTTGGTAGACACTTCTGCCATATTTTTGGCATCTCCAAGGTCAATTTTGGCATGGGAATTTAGCAAATGACATGGTTTTCCAAAGTTGCTCAGTCCTTTTCAGGCACCCAATAATCGATTTGTTGCTCTCCTGCCTCAGTCAGACAAAACATCCCAACACCATAATGAGTACCGCATGCTAAGGTCTTTCGTAAGAGCACTTCCTCTCAGATTTCACCAACTACTTAGCTTGTCAGGCTCCGGAAAACAATGATGACCCTGGCAGTTTACACAGTGAATCGAATCTTTTTAGAAGGTTTTTACCACGGTTAATCAGACCACCAGGAAATATATCTTCCAAGCTTTCACTAGGTTCCACCTGGCACATTACGAAAATTCAAGTTCTCCTGCTAAGTGTTCCCGAATGTAAATTTATTTCAAATCACCCAGTAATAAGTAACTGTATTCAACTTTCAGAGAGTATTAGTTTGGCGATTTGTTTTCTTTCTTGTTTTTTTGTAAACGCTTGTCGGAGTAATCATACTCGCGTGAGCTCGCGTACACTTTAGTCATAAGGCCAAACTAAGTCACGTGTTCCAAACATTGGCCTGGCGGCCATGTTTACTGAGAGTTGATCACAGGGAATTTTCGGTACCTTAGCTTTCGATAGTAACAGTAGCGCAGTCCACGTAAAGTGTATAGGATGATGTGAATACCTGCTTCATCAAATGTACGAAAAGGATAGATAAACATTATGCTGCAAATTGGTTCGCCCAGTTACGAAATTCAAACGTTTACAGTTGGTCGAATGTGGATATAAAATGCAAATAATGATTTTTGCTGGAGAAATGGCCCACTTTTGTCACTCTTTTACACTGGGTAAGTAAAGTATTTAAAGTGTAGACTCAGCTCGGTTCAGTTGACTTTGGATGACCATAGTTTTACTGCTCAGAATGAATGAGTGACTAGAAATAATTGAGCGTTAACCCAGAAATAACTTTCTGTCTTCTTGCTTTTTATCTTGATGATCTGGAACACCTCTCACTGTTGTTGTTTATTAATTATACACTGTAGGTCTTTGATTTGATTCAGAAATATCTTAAGAAAAGTAATAAGCTTAAATGAAGTTATCGCAGTATAGTCATTTCTTATATCTTTCCGTATTTTTCTTAATGATAACACAGTGTCATCTTTTTTTATTAACTCTTTTGCAATGAAACACAAGAAAAAAATTAAAACTTAATAAAAATGAAAGGTCATCTGTGAAAGAGTTTACATCAGATTGTCATTCCTATTTAAGTATTGTCTACATGTATAAATTACTCCTGCTAACATAGGGGCTAGACAGGTGCAGGAATATTATGTTAGGTTTTTTATGTACAAGGCAGCCATGGCTTTGAGGCATAATACAGTAATTGTCGGTTCCTCAGCTTCTTATAGGTCCCTAGCCAGCCTCTGCTATTTTCGATGCCATCAAAGTTATTGATATTGCATGGTGAAGCGAAATCTTATTGCTTTACTGTAAGTTGTGTTCCTGAAAGTATGGTCTTTTATCTTTAGTAGTTTCACAGTGATTTTCTTTGCTTCGACATGCTCTGGATAAAATATAGTAGCCAAACTTTTGTATGTAAACAAGAACAAAGGTGTGGCTGACTGGGGCCCTTTAAGGGGAGTTTTAGATGGTATTGGGAATGAGCGTAAAAAAAAAAAAAAATAA